TAGTACTCTGATAAGTAAGCATGCATTTTGGAGACTTTGTATGTCTAAAAATGTCTTTATTTTACCTTCACACTTAATAGCTTGGGTAGAGTATTCAAGATTTGAAATCATTTGTCCTCAGTATTTTGAATGCACAGCTGTGTCTTCTGGCTCCTGTTGTCAGCATTGAGAAATCCAGTTCCATTCTGGTTCATGACTATTAGAAAACTGTTTTGTTTCTCTGGAAGCATGCAGGGATCTTCCCCAGGACTTCTTGGTCCAGGACGCCTGGCTGGCTTAGCTGGTAGAGCATGCAACTAACTCTTGATCTCAGGGCCTTGAGACCCAGAGCCTAGAGATTACTTAAAAACAAAAACAAAAACAAAAATAAAACTTCTTGGTCTGGATCTCTTTCCATTCACTGTGTTGGGCTCCATAGGGAACTTCATTCCCTATGTATTTTTTATTCTTTTACAGTAGAAATGTGTACTGAGAAAACCTATCACGTAGATCAAGAAATAAAAGATTGCCAACATCTTGGCGAGGTGGGTCCCTCCCTCGGAGGCCCAGTGACCGTCCTGACTGTTGTGATGACCACTTTCTTGCTTCTCTTGGTAGTTTTTCCTCCCACAGATAGATGTCTAAGCAATCAGTTTAGTTCTGCATACCTGGGACTTTATAAGAGTAACATAAAATTTACTGCCTCAGCCATCTCCAAGTGTACAGCTCAGTGGTGTTAAGTACCTTCGTGTTGTTGGGCAGCCCATTTCCAGAACTCCTTTCATCTTCCCCAACCCAAACTCTGTACCCATTAAACAGCAACTCTCCATTCCCTTGTCCCCCACCCCCAGCCCCTGGCAACCACATTCTACTTCCTGTCTCTGAATTTGACTGCTCCAGGTACCTCATGTAAGTGAATCACATAGCATCTGCCTTTATGTGACTGGCTTGTTTCCCTTAGTATAAGGTCCTCAAGCCTCCTCCATGTTGTAGGATGTGTCCGAATTTCCTTCCTTCTTTAGGCAGAATAATATTTCATTATTTGTGTGTGTGTATCATATTTTGTTTATCCATTCAAGCATTTGGCCTCTGTTTTTTATAGATTGGTTGCTTTCCTCAAATGTCTGATGAATCCTGGGTGTCGGCTCATACGGAAGCATGGGCTAGCTACAAACCAAGCGAAAGTTCTGCACGTGTGGGCAGCCTCCTCCTGTGGTCTTCACCGCAGGGACCCAGCTGGCCATGAGGGAGCTCCTGATGTCTCTGTCTTCAGGTCTTTCTTCTTGGTTTGGCCAGATTCCCTGCAGAAAGCTCTTCCAATTGCCTGCCCGAAGGTCCCAATCTCTCTGTCCTTTGTGGCTTCTGCAAAGGGAATCTGTTGACTTGTTTTTTCCACTGCCAGCTCTAGATTCTGCTTTCTCAGTTCTTCTAGTAAACCAGTTACCACCTGTCCATCTATTAACTGGCTTTAAAAATTGTGTTCCACCGTCTTCTCTCCCATTCATATTGTGCTTGTAGGTTTGTGGCATTAGAAAAATCTTCTTACTGCTACATTATTATCTGGCAGGAACAGAGGTAAATACCAGTATTTAACATGCCATTTTAATTTCAACCCAATTTTTAACAGCAAATCTTTTCTTGAAGTATAAGGTAGAGACATCCAATTTGTGGCTAAATTGTCAGATTCTTGATATTTAGAGGTTCAGAAGAGGAATAGCTTTATGGAAAAATTGGGACCTCAGGGATATGGGCTGGGTTTGAATAGGTAGAAGGGAGTGATGAGAAAACCAAAAGCCAGAGACAGTGAATTTGCCTGAAGTGAAGGGGTGAAGAATAGTTGTGTGGAGATGAACCCAAGGGGCAGATTATAAAGAAATCCTGAGGGCTGGATAAGAAGATTGGATTTTCTGCCAGAAGAGAGTATTCTATCATGTTACTCAGCTTCAGAGTGTCGCAGGAAAACATTTACACATTTGAATGTTGATGAGGACAGCTACAAAAATAGATAAAATGTGATAATTTGTCCTGTCTCCTGATAATGTCAGGATTGTACCTGATGTTTGAGCACTGTGAATGGATGTGAAGGAAAAGGAAAATGTTAACAAGGGCTCTGCAATGCTGGCGACACAAATATGAAACTCATTCACTAACACACACAGCCACCTCTAGGTTACAGGACAGATTGGAGACAGAGCTTATCCAGTGCTTGTTTATGGAAAAGAGGAGATCAGAGAGAAAGTGTAGAAAACAAAATGCTTGTCAGTTCAGGATTTATCATTCTCAACAATCTGTGGAAGCTAGTGGTGAACATTTTGAACATTTGCCTCTAAATGTGCGTGCTATAACATGATAACACTATTTTAATTTCAAGTCAAAGCACAAAGTTTTCTCCACTTGTTCAACTTCTAAACCTTTATAGGAAAAACCAAGCTGTACCCGAGAAAAAGCATGTGCCAACTCTGCTTGAACCAACAGATGGAATTAGTGGTTTTGTGCGTGCATTTTAGCATTACTCAGCATCAGCATTATCTCTTAATCTTTGGTGTGTTTCCTGGGTTTGTGCTTGGTTTGGAGGTGTTTTACAAACGTTGTGAACCCTGCCATCCCTCATCAGGGTTAAAAGTACTAAGGAGAAAGTGTGCTGGTAGCAATAAGTAATTGTAAGTCATAAGAAAATGGTGAAGAGTCATGTGTCTACAGGATGAATTTCTCCCCCGTAGAAGTCCATCCTGAAAAACAAAGATCCAGTGATGCAACCTGCAGAAATGAGTCATTGACATTAATCATCAAGAGAAGAGGAAAAGCGATTGCCAAATGCGCTCCAACGCCTATCCGCTTGATATCAGTTAGGAAAACTTAACAGGTTTGTCTTGGTGAAGGTTCTGTGTGGAAACTTTAGTCACCCGACTGGTGGGTTCATATGCCAAGGCCCCTCCGACAGAGACAGCATCCAGATGAATAACCAGGTGGCAACCGTGGATGGATGTGTCTTCGAGGAGGTACCCCCACTGACACCGAGATATAAAGGAAGGAGGTTTTCTTCTGCCACAGATGTCGACAGCAGTGTCCTGTAAAACATCTTTAAGGAGGATAAGAGGAGCTTGTTCTAACAAAACTTATAGTCCCGTTTCATGGTTTCTCAGGGACGCAAGCCCAACCCCAGCTCGCTTCCTTACAAATGAACGGACATGTGAACAGCACTTCAGGATCTAACCTGTTTCTAGAATAATGAGCTTCTTTATTGGTTACCAAGACTCTTTCTTCCAAATGGGACATGTACATAATATTTATTGAGCACCCACTGTGTGCAGGGCCTTGGGGGAAGCAAAGATGAGTAAGACTTGATCCTGCCCCGAAGGAAGTTACAGCCTAAGTGGAGAGCACATGCACACAAATAGTTCGTTGTAATACTTTGGAAGTGTAATTATACATTGTATTATTATTATCATACTCTATTATAATGATGGAACTATCCAGAGGGTGCTATGGAACAGAGACAGGAGAGTCTTCCTGGAAGAGGTGAGGCTTGAGCGTAGTCCAAAAGAACGAGAAAGGCGTATGAGGGAGCAGAAGGGAGAGGAGAGGTAGCAGAGTGCATGCAGGTGGGTATGTAACCTCTGGCTAATGAGTGACTCAGGGGTCAGGTCACGGAGGGCCATCCGTGCTACATTAAGGAAATTAGACTATTTGGTTTTAGGCAATAAAGGTCATTAAAAGGTTTGAAATGGGAGCACCTGGGTGGCTCAGTCGTTAAGCGTCTGCCTTCGGCTCAGGTCATGGTCCCAGGGTCCTGGAATCAAGCCCCGCATCGGGCTCCCTGCTCAGTGGGAAGCCTGCTTCTCCCTCTCTCGCTGTCTCTCTCTCTCTCTCTCTGTCAGAATAACTAAATAAAATCTTTAAAAAAAAAATAAAAGGTTTGAAATGGGGTCTGCCATCAGATTTATAGTTTAGGTATCCTATTAGTTTTCTACTACTGCCCTAACAAGTCACTACAAACTTAGAGACTTAACGCATATTTATTGTCTCGCAAGTTCTGTAGTTTAGAAGTCAAGGTTGGCTCAACTGATCTTTCTGCTCTGGGATTCACCAGGCTGAAATTCAAGTGGCTGCCAGCTGGACTCTGGAGGCTCTGTGGAGAATCTGCTTATTTAGGTTGTTGACGGCATCTAGGTTACTGTGGCTGTAGGTAGGACTGAGGTCCCCGTTTTCCTGGCTGCTCTCTGCTGGGGGTCCCCCTCAGCTCCTGGAGGCCTCACTCCTACACTTGCACACAGCCCTCCATCCCGGAACCAGCAGCAACGCGTCGAATCTCTGACTTCTTCTTCTGCCACATCTCTCTGGCTTCCATCTGGGAAAGTTCTCTGCTTACGTGATTAGATCGGGCTCACCTGGATGATCCAGGCTACTGTCCCTATTTTAGGGTCTGTAGGCTTAGTTACATCTGCAAAGTCCTTTTACCTTGTAAGAGAGTGTATTCACAGGTTCCAGGGGTTGGGTGTGGACATCCCTGAAGGGGAATTATTCTGTAGCTTCCAAAGGGCAGAGTCCTTCTCTCATACCCATGCTGGTTTTCCTCCCGTCCCCCTTGCTGCTTTAAAAAACAAATACAGGGCGCCTGGGTGGCTCAGTTGGTTCAGCGACTGCCTTCGGCTCAGGTCATGATCCTGGAGTCCCGGGATCGAGTCCCACATCGGGCTCCCTGCTCGGCGGGGAGTCTGCTTCTCCCTCTGACCCTCTTCCCTCTCATGCTCTCTATCTCTCATTCTCTCTCTCTCAAATAAATAAATAAAATCTTTAAAAAAAATAAAATAAAAAACAAATACAAAAAAACCCCCAAAAACCCAGCTTCATTGAGGTATAATTTACATTCACCCATTTCCGTGCTCAAATTATGACTTTGAGCAAATTCATGGAGTCGTGCAACCATTACCTCAATCTGCTTTTCGAGTATTTCCATCACCTCAAAAAGATTTCCCACACCCTTACCAGTCCGTTGGCTTTCTTTTTATTCTCTTGTTTAGGCTCATTCTTCCTTGGAATGCTTTTGTTGGCCAGGACCTTTTTTGGCTGTCTGGGAAACACCCACATTTAGGATATTCTTTACCAGGTGCGTAGGAATACACATTAAGCTGCTGTCATCTTACTTGAAACTAACATCGTGTGTCAACTCTACTAAAAACAACCAAAAAAGGGTTTTTTTTTTAAAGAAAAAAAAAGGTGTTCACACTGCTTACCCCAGGGCAATGAGAATGCAGGGTTGGTGGTGAAATGATTAACTTTGTTTTTATGGATCTTTCAGGATTTAATATACAATGAGCAGGTATTGCTTTTTTTTTAAGATTTTTATTTTTTTAATTAAAAAATTTTTTTGAAGATTTTATTTATTTATTTGACAGAGACAGCGAGAGAGGGAACACAAGCAGGGGGAGTGGGAGAGGGAGAAGCAGGCTTCCCGTGGAGCAGGGAGCCTGATGCAGGGCTCGATCCCAGGACCCCGGGTTCATGACCTGAGCCGAAGGCAGACACCTAACGACTGAGCCACCCAGGCGCCCCAAGATTTTTAAAATGTATTTATTTGAGAGGGAGAGAGCACAGAATGAGAGGGAGAAGCAGACTCCCCGCTGAACAGAGAGCTTGATATGGGGCTTGATCCCAGGACCCCAGGTTCATGACCTGAGCCAAAGGCAGACGCTTAACCGACTGAGCCACCCAGGCACACCTGGTATTGCTTTTGAGATTAAAAAGTCTTCATTGTGAAAACATTGAAAAATTAATTCTTTCCTATTCTCTGATTGAACAATAAAAAGGATGCTTCAGGGGTGCCTGGGTGGCTCAGTCGTTAAGCGGCTGCCTTCGGCTCAGGTCATGATCCCAGGGTCCTGGGATGGAGCCCTGCATTGGGCTCCCTGCTCCGTGGGAAGCCTGCTTCTCCCTCTGCCTGCTTGTGTGCTCTATCTCTGTCAAATAAATAAATAAATAAAATCCTTTTTTTAAAAAAAGGGGGAATGCTTCAAATGCAAAGAAACAGGAGTACCAGGTGTTATGTAAAAGGCCCTTCAACTCAGATAGATGCCAAGTCGTCCCCCCATTCTTTTTTTTTAATTTTTTTTTAAATTTATTTTTGACAGAGAGAGAGCACAAGCAGAGGAAGCAGCAGGCAGAGGCAGAGGGAGAAGCAGGCTCCCCGCTGAGCAGGGAGCCCGATGTGGGACTCGATCCCAGGACTCTGAGATCATGACCTGAGCCGGCGCCCCCGTCCCCCCATTCTTATACCTCTCCGGTTGTCATCCTGACCCTGAGGGGGTGGTACCTGATGTTAGCACCATAGTCGGTCATGGCACCAGAAGGTCGAGGCCAGACTTGGGGGACATACTCTGTTTCTTCAGTTGAGTCTTTGAAATAGAAGCTTCAAGAGAAAACCAGTTTTAGGAATGTTGGCAAGGCCAATACAAAATTCTGCAATGGAGTAATTGTGAAATATTAACAAAGTTCCAAGATATGTTTAGGTCTAGAAACTGCTTAAGTACTGTTTTTGTTGTTTTAATTTAAGGTTGTTTTTTTTAACTTCTGCAGGAGGAAGATAGAAAATTGTGTTGGCTATCTCAAAAACTAAAAGCTGTATCAGCTTTTTACAGTTTGAAGGAATAAAAGAAATTTTGAATGGGAAATCTCATAAATTTCATTGTAAATCAGGTTCATTTGAAATGATGAACAAGTAAAATGGATGAACTATCATTAAACTCCCACACCAGCCATGATTAATAATTTCTCATAATTACAAAAGTATAGTTCATAATTCTTATAAAAAGGGTTTATATTTTAAATTGATAACAAAATAAATTGACAGCAAAGAGCTCTTATGCCTTTTCATTGAGTGGTAGGAAAACAAAGCATTTACTTCCTTAAAATTAGGAACAGAGTAAGGCCACATGTAATCTTCAAAAAAAAACACTTTTGGGGCACCTGGGTGGCTCAGTTGGTTAAGCGACTGCCTTCGGCTCAGGTCATGATCCCAGGGTCCTGGGATCGAGCCCCGCATCGGGCTCCCTGCTCAGCGGGAAGCCAGCTTCTCCCTCTCCCACTCCCCCTGCTTGTGTTCCCTCTCTCTCTGTCTCTCTCTCTCTCTGTCAATTAAATAAATAAAATCTTTAAAAATTTTTCATTAAAAAACACTTATTAAAATAAAATACATATTATATAAAGTTTGTCTTTTTAAAAATTTTATTTGTTATTTGATAAAGAGCGAGCACTAGAGAGAGAGAGAGAGAGAATGAGTGGGGGGCAGAGGGAGAGGGAGACGCAGACTCCCCGCTGAGCAAGGAGCCTGACATGGGGCTCGATCCCAGGACCATGGGATCATGATCTGAGCTGAAGGCAGATGCTTAACCATCTGAGCCACCCAGGTACTCCTAAAGTTTATCTTTTTTTTTTTTTAAGATTTTATTTATTTATTTGACAGAGACACAGCGAGAGAGGGAACACAAGCAGGGGGAGCGGGAGAGGGAGAAGCAGGCTTCCCGGGGAACAGAGAGCCCGATGTGGGGCTCGATCCCAGGACCCTGGGATCATGACCTGAGCCGAAGGCAGACACTTAATGACTGAGCCACCCAGGCACCCCTAAAGTTTACCTTTTTAAAGTGTACAGTTCAGTGGTTCCATTCTTCACTGTATTCACAAAGTTGTGTATTAATCACCACTATCTAATTCCAGAAGATTTAAAAAAAATTTTTATTGTTATGTTAATCACCATACATTACATCATTAGTTTTTGATGTAGTGTTCCATGATTCATTGTTTGTGTATAACACCCAGTGCTCCATGCAGAGCGTGCCCTCTTTAATACCCATCACCAGGCTAACCCATCCTCCCCCCCCTCTAGAACCCTCTGGAAGATTTTTATCACCCCAAGATCAAAACCCCACACTCATTAGCAGTCACTCCCTATCTCCTTCCTACACCCCTCATCCCTGGCAACCATCAACCTAATTTTTGTCTCTATAGATTTGTCTATTCTGGACAAGCCACATGTGAAGTTTTTGCTAAACCTGATCAGTAATTTCTGGAGTCTATTTTTACAGATAGCTTTTCTTATAAGCAACATAAAAACGTTTATTTATTGATTTATTTGAGAGAGAGAGATAGAGAGGGAACACAAGCAGGGAGGAGGAGCAGAGGGAGAGGGAGAAGCAGACACCCTACTGAGCAGGGAGCCCAATGTGGGTCTCGATCCCAGGTCCCTGGGATCATGACCTGAGCTGAAGGCAGAAGCCCAGCCCACTGAGCCACCCAGGTGCCCCAATGAAAGAAATTTAAAACATAGTACCTGACACCAAACAAGATATTTGAGGTTCAATGGATTTATTGCATCTTATATTTAATTAAAGCCAATTTGTTATTAGACCCCCTTGGGGACATTTCTACCAACCTTACAGAAATAAATACTATGAACAACTGTATGCCAGTAATTTAGATTACTTAGATGGAATGGATGAAGTCCTAGAAAGACAAAAACTGCCAAATTTCAAGAAGAACTAGAAAATCTGAATAGGTCTATATCAAGTAAAGAAATTGAATTAGTAACAAAAAAAGCTTTCCATGAAAAGAAGCCCAGGCCCAAATGGCTTCACTGGTGAATTTGACCAAACATTTAAAGAAGAATTATCACCATTTCTTTGTAAACTCTTCCAAGAAATAGAAGAGGGAACACTTGGCCAACTCTAAAAAGCCAATATGAGCCTGATACCAAAACCAGACAAAGACATCACAATAAAAACAAAACTGTACATTCATGTTGTTTATGAATTTAGAGGTGAAAATACCAACAGATATTAGCAAACAAAATCCAGCAACTATAAAAAAGATAACAGACTTTGACCAAATGAGGTTTATCTCAGGAATGCAAGGTTGGTTTAACATCTGAAAATAAATTTGAATGTCATATATTATATTATTAGAACAAAGGAGAAAACTCCATATAATCAGCTTAATATATGCAGAAAAAGCCCTTGACAAAATCCAACACTTTCTCATGATAAAAACATGCAACAAACTAGAAATAGAAGGGAAGTTCCTCCATCTGATAAACAGCATCTGTGAAAATCCTACAGCCAACATCATATTTAATGGTGAAAGTTCAGGAACAAGACAAGGATATCCATTCTTGCCACTTCTATTTGATATTATCCTGGGTATTCTAGCCAGGAAAATTAGGCAAGAAATGAATTAAAGGCATCCAGATTGGAAAGGAGGAAGTAAAACTATCTCTATTTGCAGATGACATTATCTTGTATATAGAAAATCCTAAGGTATCCATTAAAGAATGAGAACTACATCACTAATCATCAGGAAAATGCAAATCAAAACCACAGTGAGACATCATCTCATACCTACTAGGATGGTCATTATAAAAAACAAAATGAAACTGGAAATAGTAAGTGTTGGTGAGGGTGAAGAAAAAACAGAACGCTTGTGCACTGTTGGTGGGAATGTAAAATGGATCAACCACTAAGAAAACAGTGTTGAAGTTCCAAAAAAAAAAAAAGAATGGCCGAATGATCTAGCAATCCAACTTCTGGGTATTTATCCAAAAAGAATTTAAATCAGGAACTTGAAGAGATATTTGCACACCCAAGTCTTGCAGCATTATTTGCAAGAGCCAAGATATGGAAACAACCTGAGTGTCCACTGGTGGATGAGAGGAAAAAGAAAATGTGGTATATACATACAGTGGAATATTATTCAGCCATAAATAGACAATCCTGTCATATGCTACAACATGGGTATCCTTGAGGGCATTACTGTCAGTGAAGCAAACCAGTCACAAAAAGGCAAATACCACTTGATTCCACCAAAAGCAATATCCAAAGTAGTCAAGTTCATAGAAACAAAAATTAAAATGGTGGTTGCCAAGGGCTGAGGAGAGGAGAAAATGGGGAGTTGCTGTTCAATGGGTATAGAATTTCAGTCATGCAAGATGGAAAGAGATATGTTGTACAACACTGTGCTTACAGTTGACAATATTGTACTATATACTTAAAAATTGTTGACAGTAGGTCTCATTATGTCTTTTTCACCATAGTAAAAAAAAACTGGAACTAATTGATGAGT